CAGAAGCATGGTTTTTAAAAAAGGAACATAAGGAAGCAATACAGTTTTTTTTTACATAGCTTACATAGTACTTTGATCATTGTACAAGGTTTTCAGCTGCCGTAACATCTATCGACAAGTACGGTGAATTGTTCAAGTGCGGTAAGATGTACCTGAGATTCAAACTTGCGAGGAAAAGAATGGAAATGAGCTACCAATAATAATGATAAATAAATTAATGTGTATGTGTATACACAAACATACCTGTTTGACCATATGTACACTCATGAGTAAAAAAAGAAGAAGAAAGGTAAAAAAGCAAGAAAAGATTTTTTAAAAAAATGCAAATAAATAAATACAGTAAACCTAAAAATATAAAAGTGGGATGGGAATAGAAGGGGAATATGGATTTTAGAGTTCCATTACTGCATTAACAAACTCAATATAGGACTCCACCTCTTTATAAATTTTAGTCTTTGCAACCTGAATGCATATGTGATTTGTTCCCTCTCATAAAATGTTCTTTTTGTATTAAAATTCCTTAACATATAAAGCATTTTACTTACTACCTGATGCCATTTACTGGGGTTTTACAATTAACACACAACAACAACATATTTTTCAGATTTTTTAAACATATAACATGCAAATCATCACTTTCAAAACTGCATAAAATACATTAGGTTGTGGTTCTGAAACACCTGTCACCATTTTGTATGGAATTTTGTAATAATGGTGACAGGTGAGTTGTGACACAGAGGTACAGTGTGGTCAGTGCTGTCCAGGCACCTGCTTCGAATAGTTTTCTGTGCAGTTACTGTTTTTCTTTTTCAACCCAAAACACACTGAGTTATAGAAATAATCCTTGCTGACATAATAAAGCGTCCAGCTCTAATATTAACTTTCCATCTCCTCTGTGTTTATCGCAGGATTCATCAAGTCCGACCTGCGACGGCAGAAGGCCAACCTCCAACAGAGCGAGGTGCAGACAGTGAGTGTAAGTACATCTGTGTGCGCTGCATGAAGTCAGAGGTGGGATCTTCACATCCCTGTGGGGAAGGAATGTGCGAGATGCCGCCCTGGCTCTGCACTGAACGCACTGCTTCTCTGCAGTCCTCACACCGCTGCGGGCATGCACATGAGTGAATGCAGGGGGGGTTGCACTGTTGCACTGTTGAAATCTTTCCCTCCTAACTCACTAAAAACATCCTCTACTCTTAAAGCTGTTTGCACAAAGCACAGTTCTGCTTTGTCTGACAGCTCTCCAACAGCATGTTTACCATCTGCTGCTATAAAAACCTCATCTTGTTTGAACTTTTGCAAACTTTGTTGCTCCCTTAATGTGGGTGCGGTAGACAGCTGTCAAACAGATCAGCTCATAAATCACTGTCACACTGTGATAATCACACACCACAGTCCGCTTTCAATAAATAAAAGCAGGTTTAATTTATTGAGCTAATCTGAAATTAAGACATCCTTTTGTTCAATAGTCCATATGTACGTAACGCATCACAGATTCAAATTTTCTCCAACTGGAAAAAACCCAGTGTCCTCCAGCTGCTCACAATCACCTTTGACTTTTTAAAAATGAATGCAATTTTTGCAAAATCTTGCATCGTGTCTTCTGCTGCTCACTCGTGGCTTTGTTTAAAACAAGCTGGGACCTCTTTATTCCTAGTCCTTTCTCTTTTCCTAATATTCCTAATCTAACAATACAAATGCAGCTAAAATGGAAAGGTCTAATAATCCTGCACGCTAACAGTAATAATAATATGACACACTGAACCACCATGAGCCACCTCTGCTAAATTGTTAAAACTGAGAAGACCAGCAGTGAGATAAATAACAATAAATGCATTAATAAGCTGTAATAGGTTGATAAATGTAAGATATAAATGGCAAACAAATACTGCACACCATCTTCTCCTCACTAAAAGCAGTGCAAGTGTACTAGAGAGTATCTATCAGGCAGTGTTAGTTGGGTGTGCAGGGTTTGGTGGAAGGCAGTCTGGTGGTGGTGGTGGTGGTGGTGGTGTGGGATGGAGGAGATGTCAGAGGATGAGGTGGCCCCTGTGGGCCCCTCAGAGGTGTGACACCCAAGCTATCGTTCCAGCCTACAGGCTCAGTGGCATCGGCGCAGGACTACGGGGCCACAGCATGCAGGGCCCACTGGCAACGGCAGTCTTGACATAAACCCACAACCTCACTAAAAACCAAAACACACACCTGCCAAGGTAGGGGCACACTCTCGCTGAAGCTCCAACACCTGTAACATGATAATCTACACAAAGACACACACACACACATAATGGACAAGAACATGTGACAGTAAACAAACATTATTTACAACGTCAAAATGCCTCTGAATCTTCCAGAACATTCAACAAAACTGTAACAAACCACATTTTGTTTCAATGTATGAAAATATGTTTTTAATTAATTCTTCACAAAAGCATGACTGGTATTTTGTCAATAATACTTGAGGTTATCGTAAGAAAACTGCGGTACATTCTGCTCCACTTCACAGTCACATTTAACAGGTTCACCTGCTGTTACCGTGGAATAAAACCTCCTATAAGGTGTTATGAAATTCATATTTAAAGGTCCAGTGTGCAGGATTTATGGCCATCTATTGGCAGAAATTGCATATAATATTGATAACTATGTTTCCATTACCTAAAATCCTACCACCTAAAAGTAAGAGTTGTGTTTTTATTATTCTAGAATGAGCCTTTTATATCTACACACGGAGCGAGACCTCTTCCACCAAGTCCATCATGTTGTTCTACAGTAGCCCAGAATGGACAAACCAATCACTGGCTCTTGCGTTTTCACAGCAGCCTCTGCAGTTCTCCTGCACACTTGGCACACAGGAGAAGTTTCAGTTTTGCAACCTCACGGCTAGATGCCACAAAATCCTACATACTAGACCTTAAAGTAAAACAGATGTTCAGCAGTTGTGAGTTTTTTGTTATCACTGTGTCAACCTTTTTTCTTTTTTTTGGCTTTAATCAAATCAACTTTTTAATTGAATTTTAAAGCAATCATTTGATATTTGTGATTAACTGACAGTACTAAGAGGTTTTAATGAGAATATAATTAACGGATTATATTGATTTGATATAAGAAGTGAACGATTAGTTTTAAGATGTTTAATATAAAACTAATGTGTGGAATAATTTTGGTCTATGTTAACGTTCTGTTCTCTTTCTTCAAGCAGTGATGAGTTGAGAATTTGTGTCTTCTTATAAAAAAGAACCCTTGTCGATCGTAATTGTTTTCTGTCCTCGTCCTTTACAGAAAGGGAAAGCTGATGTAGAAGGAGGCGTCTCTCCACCTGAGCTCCTGAAGGAGAGGAAGTCATAAGAGTAGACTCTGTCAAAGACACTGCATACAGACAAAAATACAAACACTGACACTATCAATGTGTATAAACACGCACACATGGCCACGGACAAAAAAAAAAAAAAGCTGTGGTGAAGAGTGAGCACATGGAGAGTGGATCAAACTGAGCAGCCCTCAGACAGGCTTTAAAACCAGCAGACATTTGATGTACTGTGACTGTAAGGACCTCACACTCTCTACATCCAACGCCCCAACATCAGAGATTTACACTAATATCCAAAGTGCAACTTAGCTTGTCCCACGCTGCACACAGATCACATCATGCACAAGAGAAACGCACTTGGAACCTCAGTGGTTTTTACACCTCGAGACAAAATCTTTGTGAACATGAATTTTATCTAATGTATGTATTTTACCTGTCAGTGCAATGCAACTGCCTCTTAGTGACTCCAACATGACTACACTCTTTAACTGACCGTCCCCCTCTGATCTGTGTTATTTTAGTGTTCTATGCATCTAATGAGCAATATTTAAACTGTGACTGTCACCTGATATTGGACCAACATTGTGTGTAACTGAACTCAGTCTTTACATCGCTGAAGGCATTAACTTAAGTGTTAAATGCAGATGTTGGACTGTCGTGTTTTCCTGTCATGGCAGTCAGACTCCCCAGGATCACACAGTCTCACTCCTGCATACTGCTGATTACAAATATGATTGATGCTGTGCATCTGCATACACTTTGGGAGGTCAATTCTGTCCTCGTTTTACTGTAAGTGATCTCAACAAGACAACTGGTGATGAGTATCCGGATTAACGTGCGAGAGCACCTGGAGCATGAAGGATGTCATCACAGCACAAAACACGACAAATCAGTCTACTGCAGTTGTCATTTTGCACAAGGAAATGTTTTTACGTGTTAAACTACTTAGCTTGTAAAGTTGTTACAGAGAAATGTAGTTCATGCTGTTTGTACAGTTTGTCATCGACATGTTTTACTTGATGTGTTGTGCAGATTTGTCCAGTGATTTTCCTATTTTATGATGAATGTTATGTGAATTTTAGAGATGCTAGTTATTTTTACAGTGGTATTTCTAGGATATTTTGTAGTGCTGTGAACAACAATACACCCCTAGAGACTGGATACTCGGTGTAGTGTTTTGAGTGTTTGACACTAAGTATATGAACTACAGTAAAAACAAATTAATAGATGTATAAGAGGATTCAAAGGACTTTATTTTGTTCTCTATATAGAATTGTATAACCTCAAGGAAAAAAACTGTCACTGTATATATCTTTGGATATAAAAAGGACGACATTTGAATTTATATTTTTGTACCTTAAAAAACCTCACAAAGCAGTGTGCTTAAGTTTAATGCATCTCCTATCCTAAACTGGAAAATCCAGAGCTAAAAAGTCACATCAGCAGAAAAGAACTTCTCATTTAAATCTAAATATGAGATCTGAGCAGCACAAAACATCAAATATAGAGTTGTTCCAATACCAATGCCAGTATCTTTAATGCCTCCGATACTGCCTAAAATGCTGGTATCGCAACAATAATGCAGAAAACTCACTCTTGGAAAGAAGATGTCTTTCAACTTATTTTTCATATATAGTTTATAAAATACATATTATACTCCTATTACTTTAGTAGAAAATAGCAAAAACGCTTATCATTTCATTTTTAAAATGTTTTATAGGACAATAATTGTGCATAAATTCAAATGATGTACAAACATTTCACAGCACAGAACAAACATTGAGAATAATTGTTGATAATTGTTGAAATTTGTGTTTATGAGACTTTGTAATGAAAAGCATAGTTTTATAGTCGTCTGAGTTCTTTGGTAGATCATGATTTTAAAAAATCATGTGGTAGTCTGGAGAAATAAAACATTCCCAAAGAAATCTACACTGGATTCATTCATGAGCAGAGACGTGAACGAGGTTCATTCAGCACTGACAGTTCAGATACTACAAAATTAACTCAATGAAACCTCCATAAGTATAACACTGCACATATTGCTCACTGTAGTGTAACATGACCTTCTGTCACTCTGTTTGTGATTGCACTGTGAGCTGTCAGTTTAAAAAAACATCAAATACAGCTCAGATAGAGATGAACATCGTCCATATAAAGCGTTAGCGTAGGAAACTGACATACGACCAGATCTCATGTTCTTCACAGCAAGAAGCAGCACACTAGTACCAGTCCACTAATGTCTGCTGATCATTGTGGAGGTGGGAGGGAAATCAAACAGCTGGGATTCAGTTACGCTTCTTCTGTCGTGCGCCGACTTCCTCTTGTGACTCTGGGATGCACTGGAATCCAATCAGCATTCCTATGATGGAGAAACCTGGAAAAACACATGAAGATGTTTTAATACCTTTGAAACATGACATGTACTTATTTAAGGGATCATGTAAATATATTTCCCAACACTCACTTGCCACAATGAGAGGTGCCATGACCCCGATAGTCAGAGGAGCTGTTTTGTAGATGAAGGCTTCAGACAGGAAGTGACCCAGCGCTAACACGAATGTCCATAAGGTGATGTGATACAGCCTGCAGGAATGAGATGGATGAGAACACAGTGAGAACACACAGTGTGAAGACTGCCAACAGAAACAAGGTGCAGGAAGTGAGAAGCTGTCTTACGTTCTGTTCTGGATATCAATGGCACAGGAACAGCGAATGATCGACGACAGCAACGTCCAAATACCAAAAGTTCGAGCTTGGAGACCATTTACTGAGGAAATGGGAAGTAAAGAGAAAATTATAAAAATTGAGAGAAAAAAAAGTCATTTATATATTTTAGTCTGCCTAATCTTAATTTATTTACAAATATTTGATACAAGCCTGATCCATAAATCATCTTGGCCAATATTAACTTGTCACAAACACAATTTGTATCAGTATATGTTGGCTAAGTAATTAAAAAAACTGCAGCGCTCAACTAACAAACATTTTTACTTCACTATAATTTTCTGATAATTTAAGTTACTAAGTACTTTACAAATTAAGATTTTACACACCATATGAAAATAAACAGGTTCAGCTGAAAGGATTAGTCGATTGATTAGAAAACTAATTGGCAACTGTTCCAATAATCAAATATGCATGGTTGCAGCTTTTCAGATATCAATCAAGATCAAGTATTTTAATTGATTAAACTGACTGTTTTTTCTGCATTGGCTACTTTTACTTTTAATACTTAAACATATATTTCTGATTGTACTTACATGATTTTACTTAAGTAACATTTTCAAAGCAGGACTTCTACTATTAACAAAGTATTTTTTACTGTGTGATATTAGTACTTCTACTTAAGTAAAGGATGTGAATACTTCCTCCACCACTGCATATCTGACTATATTTGGTTTTGGTTATCCTAATAGTGTGATATATAGCTTAGATGTTGCCTTAGCTGCTGATACACATTTAAAATACATATTTCTGTTCAATGCTATTTTATAAACTTGTACACCACCAACTCCTGAACACTGAACACGCTGTAATGCCCATTTAAGTTTTGCCAATCAAACCTATTTACTCACCAAACTCTGGTGTTCCTGTGTAGAGCTTCTCTGACAAAAAACTGTGATCTCTGAAACTCTGCACGGTGTTTCCCATCGCGATGACGGACACCATTACCAACCAGCTCCTCAGGACGTTTAGAAAGCGACTCATGTTTGCTGTCTGTGAGACGCACCTGTCACAGAGAAGTCAGTGAGTGCAGGATAAACAGCTTCAAACTGAAGGCTAATGCAACTGCAGCTGGCTGGTGTCATTACACAGAGAGTAACAGCTCCATGTTGCCTTGTCTGACACATGACAAGGAGACCATCTATTAGCTAGCAAGATATATTGAGTAATAACTAACGTGACATAGCAGGCTAACGTTGCTGTGACATGGTTAATACAATTAACTAACCTGTTGTGATTAATAATAACACAAATTGTTCTTATATTTACCTGGCGGCCTCCATAAAACTACCATGTGAACGTATTCCTGAGAGAGAAGACAGGACTGGACATTAAACAACTAACTGGGACTCAAGCCAACGGACCACAGTGTTATGATCACAATGGTAAGTCATTCAACCTTGGACTGTGGGTGGACCAATCACAGAGTTTAAGAAATGGCTCCATCAATCGTACCATTCATATGATTGGCCCATATGAGCGCTCAGGTTCCGCCTACTCTCTTTGCCAACCAACAGGAATAAAGAAATCCCGTCACCTGTAGACTGTAAACTAGGCTGCGTTCAAACAAAGATTAGATGTGGAGCGAGAGAGTGCTCCGTAGTGACTTATCTTTTAGTTAAATCTTTTCTAATGGAGGAAGAACTACATAATGACATATGCTAAATACGCAATACTAAATGACAGAAGTTATTATACTGGTAGCAGAAATGGCAAAAGTTATTAAACTGGTGCCATTCATGTGTAAATCCTTTCCTTGTACTTTTTTACTTCAAGAACTAAATTTCTTTTTCGCACACGTCCCCTTTAAGCACTATATGCTGTCGAAAAACACACAAAAAATACATAGCCTACATATTCCAGCGATTTTTACAACACTTACTATGTTACACCGAGGACATGGGCTATATTTTCGTCTGACAGTTACCGTAACGTCCGCCGCACGTCCCGCCATTGGACGGTTGCAGTGCAAAATTTGGTCCGCTGGACAATTCATATCGCCCACTACTGCGCATGTTCCCTGCTCTGTTGCTACTCAGTTGTTGTAGTTACCAGGAAGATTAACCGCGATGATCAACTGGCCCTGGCGAAACCAGCTAGCTAGCAGTTAGCAAGCTGTCAGAGATAAAGGCAAGTTTACGTTGTTGTGTACTTGCATGGCATCATAAAAACGTCTACTTAAGCGGTCTCAAACTTAGAGGACTTCACCTTGTTAGCTTCCCGTACCTAAAGTATCATGTCAGTAAGCTTATTTAGCTAACGCTTGTTTGGCTGTCTGTCTTGGTTTAACGCCTTCTGTCCACTGTAACGTTAACAGAAAGATAAATATACCCCCACTACAAACAGAGCTACAAAGCAGTTATTCTCGGCTAAATGTGAAGCAGTGTGTCAGGACTGTACATTGTTTGTTAGCGAGCCTTTGTAACGTGGTTCTTAACATAATGTTTTGAATGAATGCTTTGATGTTTATTTGAATTGAGTTGAGCTTATTCAATAGATGATGTTTTTGCAGGTGGAGGTGGTAGCGTTAGGTGCCATGGTAAAGCCTAGACACTTGATCCCAGGAAGATTTCACCTGGCAGCTCGTCCCCTGTTCCTGTGAAGATGCCTGCTGTGATCCGCGATAAGGAGGACTCTGAATCCTCCTCAGAGGACGAGCATGAGTAAGTGTGCATACTTTATAATCACTTAAGAGTAACTGTGGAGCAGTCAGCATCAGAAATGACCTGCTTAAACTTAAGGAAAGAAAAAGCTACATCCTGTAATAGCCTTCATATAATCATTGCCCTCCTCATCTTGAGGTTGAGCTCCTTTTCTGTTGTTGTATTTATGTTTCCTGTGGCCAGGTCAGTTTTATTCAGCCTAATGTCATTTATCTTTTTTGGGGGCTTTAGTGTCTGTACAACATATGACTTAGCCCCTTGATGCAAATTAGGAAAACTCCCCCTAAAACCATTCAAATGGCATCCAAATGCAAAACCACCTTAGGTTCACATCACTGGTGATCAGCCTTTAAATAGCTGTGTCTGTGCAAACTTCTAAAAAAAACTCCTAAACCAGTATATTCAGGTTAATTCTTGGGCCTTACATGTTTAATTTCTGATCACATACACCTTTGTGAGAGTGTTCTCTTATGCAAAACAGGCTCATCCTTTAATATGCTCGCATTGCTTTTAAAGCAGTGAGACAGTTGCAAATGGAGATGAAGATGAGTAGGATGTTGCTCACAGTCCTTGCACCTTATGGACATGGCTGTCTGAATTACACAGGTCGCCTTAGGTGTCAGTTAGGCTCTTAGCCTACTGATCCTCCTGTAATACCTCCCCTAAAGATTCCCTCTAGATGCAGTATTAATGTGACACCATGTTAACCAAAAGCTTTTTCTTTGGCTGCATTGAAGTCTTCAGCTTTGCAGCTCACAATAGTTTATTGATTGTTGTGTAATGCAGTCTATTTAGTATTACAGAAGATGTCCTGGGCCCTTTTTAATAATTAATGCCAAGATACATTTAGACAAAATGAAGCCTCCAGGTAGTGTTTATTTTGCATAATTGATGAGAGATTAACAGTGTGAGAGAGAAGAGCATCTAGCTCCAGATCATAGCTGCAACAGTTGGTCTATGTTATCTTGTCTCTGCCAACTAATTCCTTCTTAAGCTATACTTAGTCATAGCATACTGAGAGTCACTGTGCCTGCTTTTAGGCAAATTTCCATCTCCTGATTTAGTTTGGATTGCTTAGTATTAGGGTTTAACCTCCAGGCACCAGTGCAGTGTGCTAGGAGACCAGATGCTTCCAGACCAGAGAGTTTATAAAATAAAAGGTTACATGCACACTGCTGTAGTTGTGTAAATGTAGTATTTTGAGTGCACCCTGACTGATTTCAACTTATTACCAAACAAGCATCAGCTGCACATTTGATTTCAACCTGTGAAATTCTTCTGATCAGCTCTGACTAGCATGTTAATGTTTATTTATCTGGGGCAGTTGATTTTAGTTGACACTAACATGATGTAAAAGTTTATGACGACAGACAACCCTGAATAATGCAAAGGACAACAAAGTATAGTATTACAGGCAACACAGGAGGCACATAGCACACATAAAGACTAACACATGTAAGTGCATGTACATGTACATGGGATTACTGCATATTTAACCACATATTGTCAACTTTTAAATGATTGTTTTACTGAAATATAACTGCAGTGACAACAATTTGGCCAGTTGCCTAAGACCTTCACATCTTGTGTGTGTGTGTGTGTGTAGTATCTCAGTTAGGCTTGGACAGTATCTATTTTTCATACCTCAATACCGTAGTGACATTTCACCAGAGTTTACCAGGGTTCCTGGAAGTCCTTAAAAAGTCTTAAAAGGCACTGAATTCATTAATCTAAAAAATAAAGCCTTAATTGGTATTAACACTTCTTAAGTCAGTCTTTGAAAAGTTTGAAAAATGCTAAGATGCTAAATTAAATTACAGTACAATTAAATCAATGCTAATTTTTTAAGATATTTTATTTTTGGCTTTTTACCTTTCTTACATAGGATAGTCTAAGTGTGAAGAAGGGAGAGAGGGAAGGGGATGACATGCAGCAGAGGACATTGCCGTCATATATAGGAAGCCTGCTCTACCCATTAAGCCACCGGGCGCCCCAGATTTTATGAATTTTATTTTTTTTTTCTGACATTGCATTGTAAAATCTAAGTAGCTTACTGATGTCAGTTCATTTTTTTTCTTCAGGTCTTGTTAATTGTAAAATTGGTCCCAAATTTCATTCCGAGTGCCACTAAAATAAGTCTTAAAAAGTCTTAAATCCAACTTGCCTTAAGATACGGTACACAGTATTCGTGTGAAGAGTTAACAAATGAATAGCTGAGCTACTGTTGATTAGGGGTGGGCAATACAGTATGGCCCTAAAATAATATCATGATATTTCAGGGTATTTTTGCAATTGTTATATTCTTGACGACATGACAAATTAGTGAAAAAACGTATTATTAATTTAAGAACATAGAATTGCAACAAATTAAATTATACAGTTTTATATGTCTTTTAGCAAAATCGTAAATGATTGGACCTTTATGCTATGCCATTTCTCCTCTAGTCATCACGCTGTAACCTGTGACAGGCTGTTATGATACCAGAACTATTGCACATTCACACATATGTAGTGTTTTGTCGAGCTGCGAGCATCCTGTAGGATTACATTACCAAAGGTTTATGACAAAATAACTTGATGACACCAACTGCAGTGTGCACATGGTGAGAGAGGAGAGGGAGAGACGCTGTGCTGCTGCCAGAGGAGCTGCTGAATGAGTTCCCTCTGAGCGGTAACTCACTGAAAGAGTCTGAGAAGTCTGGGGCTGTTCATAAAACATTCAGGATGCCACAGTTTATTCCACACTACTGAAGCTGCTCCTCTTTTTGGAACCACCGCAGAGTCAGTAATAATTTTGCTTTCAGCCATGCTTGTTGTTGCCGTTGGTAACAGTATAATGTCAATATGTTAATTAGTCAAAATATCACAAGTATTACAATATGAAGTTTTCATATCATATTAAACATTGTGCTGGTATAATCGTACAGGAGATGATATGGCACACCACATAGCATGTCTTGCCTACAATGCTGTGTTTGTGCCTTGTTAGTCCAGCCTTGATGGATTTAAATACTTCTGGCCCAAAGAATAATAAATACATGGGAAATAAGTCCTCTTCTTGCTGGACCTGATGACATCTGTAGCTGCAGAGAATACCGACACTTCATGGGCTGAATGGAGAGGGTGTGTTTATAATATTATGTGGCTAAAATACTGCTTTTGTAGTTGTTAGAAATCATCATAAAGTTAAATGTGGCTTTTTTTACTAGTCTGCGACGTTATCCCCACCACTCGCAGTCACCATCCTTTTTGTTCTACCAGTAGAGACTAACCTCTGGTGGCCCGTGCTGTGCACTACAATACATTACCTCAGTGCAGCATTTCTGTATGAATGTCATAGGAAGAGGAGCATCTGTATATTTTACCTCATACCTTTGTGATTTCTTAATACACCGGTATACTGTAATACCTTGATACGGCCCAAATCTAATCTCATATCGTTTGATGGCAGTTTATGTTCAAAATAAACAATAATCTAAAAAATAATCCAAACTCCTTGTTTAAGGGCGTGCAACAAAGCTACCGTAGCGGAAAAGATATCTGCTGCATTATCTGACATACCTAGATACTTAAGCTAGGGGCAGCAATTGTTTACATGCCTCTCCTCTTTATCAAGACCGGCCATGCCTGATTGAGTTCTACTCCATCATCATGCTACCTTATCTTATTTTTAGCCCCGATAAACGAGCTGTGTCTGGTACTATCAGATAGTCCGCAGCTTTACAAGGGTGTCAGTACAGT